ATTGAACGGCAGTGAGATGACAAAGCATGAACGAATAAGATGAATGAAATGAAAGAATAAACGACCATGAATGAGAAATAATGAACGAGATGAACGAAAATAATGAACGACAGCATGAATGAAATACTACACACTGAGCACACGCGCACATAGTCGAGATGGCAATAATGACGCCACAGACATGAAGCTGGCAATAACCTGAAACGAATTGCCAGATGGAATAACATGACCACGAATGCATGAAATAATGACCTAACGAATGCATGAAATAATTGAACGAAATGCATGAAAATAATGAACGAAGAATGTGAAATAATGAACGACAATGAATTGAAATAACTCTGACAGCACGAATGAATGAAAATAATGAAAACGAATGCAAGAATTGTATCAATCAAATCAAAGACGGATGTCAGACAGTCGTTAGCCAACGCAGCAGCGTGCGCATAGCCAAGGCCCCTGCCCCCCGCCCTCGTGTTGAAGCGAGAGTGCGCGCATGCGCCCATCACGCCAGTGGGCGCGTCGTGTGCGTGCGTGGAACGGAACTAAAGCGTTTGCTGCAAGGCGCGGCCTACGCCCGCTTTCTGAGCGTGCGCAGGACCGAGCGGGAGCTGCTGTGCCGTGGCTGCTGCTTCAGCAGCGTGTACGTCGTGCTGCTGGATCCAGGACCGCCGTCATCCTTCTTCATCGTCATCGCCTCAAGGCAAGTCCTTCGCCATGGCCGGCCGCCGCTTTCTTCTTCGTCGCTCAACATGCGGGTGAGCGCAGCGCACGTTTCGTATAGAAAACAATATTAGTAATAATAAAAATAGTAATAATAATAATAATAATAATAATAATACATATTAATAATAATAAATAATAATAAATAATATTAATAATAATAATTATTATATAATAATAATATTAATAATAAAATAATAATAATAATAATAGTAATCAATAATATTAATAATAATAATATTAAAATAAAATATTAATAATAATAATAATAATAAAATAATAATATTAATAATAATATTAATAATAATAATAATAATAAGAATAATAATAATAATAATAATACATAAAATAATCAAAATAATAATAACTATAATAATAATAATAATAATAATGTCTTCCGCGACAGGCACTGGGAGTGTCTTCACTTGGATTGGCAGGAATGTTATCATAATATGCACAAAGTGTTAATTTGAATACTATGCCTATTGTCAGAAGCCATCTGAACCTTCAGTAAAGCAAACCACACACCTGCGGTCATCATTCCTGTGTGTGGTTGACATACCGACCAGTAGATACTGTGAATAATGTATAATAATAATACATTTTTCCTCCAAATGATATCTCGATCGGTTAAAACGAGGAGCTAGAAACAGCACACACTTTCTCGCATTATTTCTAAATTTGCAATTTTCGAAAATTGAGAGAGTTGAACAAAATTGAGATGCTCGCCATTAAAACAATGGCAACAAGCATCCCTTCTTCTATCTGTGTAAACGTTTAAAGAAAAAGTTTGGAGTGGTTTTTGAGCTTTTTTTAAATTCCCTATATTTTGGGCCAAATTACACGAAAATTACTCAAATTTCTAAAAATAAAACATGAACTTCTTTAAAGATACGTCTTTAAGGAAAATATTTGTTTGATAAAAACTGTATATTTTCAATATTTAAAAAAAATGCCCTTTTGGAATTTAAAAAATTAGATTTCAATGAATATGAGACTTGCACCATTCTCTTCAGGCTATCCGATTACAAAGGTTGATCAAAAAATGTGGTGCCACATTTGAGAAACGTTTTTAAATGATTTTGAAATTTAATGTAAAGTACCGCCAAAACTCGAATTATCCGTTTGGAACTCTCAAAGCCTTGAGGTCATTCTAATCAATTGAGGAATATAAAGTTTGGAGAAATTTTGGAGATCGGTTTAGGCGCTATCATTGACCACAGGCGTACGGACAGACTGACGAACACGTTTGACCGTTAATCCATTTTGCGGTATCAAGAACCAACAAAACATGAATTCTTGCTCCACCACGAGTTATAGAATTTTTTCTATATTTAGCAAAAGGATTTCGTTATCAGGGTGCCGTTTAGAACACTTTTTCATTATCAGGGCCCGGCAAGAGGAAAAGTTCTTCGCAAGGGAAAGAAAGCAAAAAGAAAGTACAAAAATAAAAAGAATAAAAACTCTTGGAAGCCTTAGAGCGTTGTTCCACGATGAAAAGACATGGGTGAGTTGGTTCGGAGCGCCGACGTTTGCTCGTTCTGTGCAGCGTCAGATACGTCACGAACCACGTGACCGCAGAACGGGCACTTCGTTTGAAAATTCAAACTGCTTTGCTAAGCGAGCAATGTTGAGAAATATTTTGAAAGAGGTATAAAGTGACAATTTTCAACGGTAATCAATCAAAAATAAAGTTATGAAGGAGTAATAGAAATGAAATAGGCAATATTTAAAAAAAAATCCTTCATATATCTGGTTCAATGACGTTTAACAAGGTGATAATTTTGGTACCTGGTTGCATTTTTAATTAGAAGTGGTATAGAAGTAGTAGTAGTAGTAGTATTCCGAAGCTAAAAAAGCGTGCATGATGCCCAGAAATCAAATTTCACACCATTAAAAATACCCAGACACTATAGCTATCGTTCATAAAAATACCACACAAACAGGTGCGGAATCATATTACCTTTAGATTGCCGGCAAAAACTCATGCAGCATGGGCGTGGCAAGTACATTCAATCAAGGCAACGACGAAACCGAACTCCAGTTGTCAAACCCAAAGAACTCTGATACAACGTATAGTTTTTTTTTCTTAAGAAAACATTTCTTACGTCTTCGCAATACGTCCCCTAACCCTTTTTGGGAGTTGAGCGCTTATTCTGGAATAATCGTCCATTATTTTATACACGTAGTTCTCATTATAGTAGTCATAGTACGTCGTTGTTAAAGGGACCACCGAGTAGTATTACCGCCTAGCGTCTCCCATACGCGCTCTGCGTCTCTTCTTAGCGAGCGGCCCGAATTAGGAAGGATTTAGGTACGTGGAAGGGTTTAGAACGCTTCATACGTGTTGAAATAGCCCCGGTGAAGCAGATATTTTGTCAGAACAAACTTCACATGAGATTGTCGCGGGAATAGAACCCGGATCTCCTTTGTGAAAGGCGAGCTTCTTTGCTCTGAGTCATGGGTCACCACTGGATATTTTGGATATTCTTAAATCGACTAATTTTGTTAAACGGGTGGAGGGTTTCGGGTAAAACTGTCAAATAACACTACAAGTAAAATTAGAAGTTGGTTGAGAGTTCGTGATTTCGTGGTAAAGTCAGTGTCGTAAACAATCAACAGCAAATCAAGAGCAGGTCTGTCAAGTTTCTTAAGAGAAGGGATGAAGTACATTTCATTTAACTATTACTTTCAGTTAAACATAAACATAGAGAAATTAATGATTTACACTTCGATTTATTAAAGTGGATGTTTTCTCAACATCGATGATATTTCTACTTTTCGAAATTCTGTTTGTGAATGAAAAAATTCCATTATCTCAATTTTGTAAAAGTTAAAATATGAAATAACTCATAGTACTACTGTCAGATTGTTTTTAAATCAAATGAACACTGTACTACCTTTATCAAGCAGGCTCTTTCTCGCACAAGTTAATTTCGATGCCCTGATATGCACTATGCCTTTTCTCGTATTTCCCACACGGAGAGGCGGTTAACTCATGTGCATGAGCGTACAGCCTCCCCTTTCTTCGCGTACCCGTTCTCCCATTCTTTTCTGTTGAGTCACGACCCTCTGCGCTTGCAGTTTCACGCTCATTTTGTTAAAAAAAATCTTATTTTTTTAAAATTCGTTTTGCCAGTTAAATCCAACTATAAATTAAACACAACCACTGTTAAATTATATTTTGTCCCGCGCGAATGTGTAATGTTAGAGGTTACTAAACCAATTTAAAACATGTATATTTAAAAACATCGATGTTTCAGTCAAGGTATTATTAACATTGAGGTTTTAATTTTGAACACTGTTGTTTGCTATCATCGATGTCGCATCACTTTTTTGGATTCAGCATTGACTTTAGGTCTCGGTGAATGCAACGCTTTAGACAGCCACTAGTCAAAGCTGTTCTTTCAGGACACGCACAGTGTGCTAAGAGGTTAAGTTGTAGATTAGTGTTAAAAGTGAGATGATGCTCAAGTGTTCAGATAAATCCGTGAATGCGCTAAAAAAACAAAATACTTTCGTCTGACCGCATCAGCTACTACTGGACTGTAGTACTGGAAGTATCATTAAGTGATTTTTATACTTGAATTAAAATAAAATGAAAGTTTGTTTAAAAAGGTGTATGACATCCCTGATAAAAGTGATTTTATTTGGCTAGTAGGATTACTTCACTCGGCCAATCGGCCTCGTGTCTCAACCTTTCCTACTGAAAAATAAAATGTCACTTTTACCACTCCAATCATAACTATATTTTGCGCTCTTGTACTGTTATATTATTGACTTCACGCAACCAATTTTCTAATTACACGTCTAATTTTCAAACTAATTTTGTATGCTGTTGGACACTTACGAAAAGCCAGTCTTTAACGTCCGGCATCCCTTAAGAATTTAACAGACCATAGACCGTTAATTATAATGTTCGAAGCAATCGAGTTGAAGCTAATGATGTATAAGTATTACACTTATTTCTATCACTATGATCCCTTGCTTACTAATGACAGCTTCATTTCTAACTTTACTAACACCTAATTGAAAGATGTGTCATTGCCAACAATGTTTTTAAATCAATAGCAGCTTCGAGGTTACGCCATCGTCCTCAGTTGCCCTCTAGATGGGAAGCCACAAGCGT